GAGGGATCAGGGTGAGTACCGCCAAGCTTGTGGTTGTGCGTGAGAACACACGTGCGCAATGTGTCCGGGTTGCTTGGAGCATAAGGGTGGCGTCGATGTATCAGGGGCACATAAATGCCGGCTAATTTCCGTTTCAATGCGCTTGTGTAGGGCGCTCAATCGAAAGATGGTGATTTTTGCTTAACTCATCATAGTATCGACAACCAAATGGAAACCGCGCAGCACGCAGGGACACACAAACATTCGAAATGGTCTACCATCGATTGCTTTGACTCGATCGCTCCTCAAGTATCGGTTTTTAATTCTACACTATTGGTCCCTCTCTCAACATTCTCTCCTCCTACCCCCTCCTCTTCTTCCCCAATCCTTGCCTTTCCCTCATCGCACATGCACGTACCTCCATTTCACTTGCTGGTAGAGGCTTATATTGCGGGCGAGACGCTGTGGTAGGGTCGGCCGGTGTGTCATCATCCTGCTCCATCCGCTCCTCCACTTGCTTGGGTTCCACCACAAGCATCTCTTCGTCGATGGCCATGGTCACCTTTGGTTCTGCGGGCAATAAAAAGGAAAACGGGACGAGCAGTTCAGATCTTGCTATTCCTTCGTCCATAGGTACACACCAATGTATATGCGTGCGGGACTTTGGACCGATTTCCCTTTCAAGCGCGGTATTCGTGTACGCTTTGCACGGAGAACGGGCTACCACCCACGGCAGAAGATACGAGGAAGCATGAATGGCGTCACTGTATTTCCCCGCCCTTGTTCCTCGTTTGGCCATGCACACGTGAGGCAACGCCACGATGCGTGCGCATGATGTGCGGTTATAAGTCATGAGATTTATGTTCATCCCCGGATACGAATTTTTGGGAAGAAAGAGGGACATTTGTTTAAGGCACTGTACGCAACCTCCTGAGGACAGGTGACTTTCACAGGAACAGTAACTTCATTTCGCCTGTATTTTTTGGGGGGAAGCATGGTCTTTGTGAGTATGGTTTGATTTGCATGTGACTATTTTCTGTTATCGAAAATTATTTCTGAAAAAAGAAATAACACCCGGCACTGACTCCCCGTTTTCCTTGAAAAAACATCATCACTAGAAATGTGCAGCGTGATGCCAAAATGTTTGATGTGCACCTAGCAAACCTTCAAGGAGCACGTCCGTCTTTATGATAAGGAAATTAAAATACAAAGGAATTGAATAGTAGAAGTGAAACCGAATACAAGCACATTACTCTCTTTTTCTTCCCTCGGGCCTTCTTTGGGCACTGGCTAAGCCTCCTTCACAAATGTCAGCCATCGCGTCCTCCATCCACCTCCGGTACTGGAGCTGCCGTTTCCACATGTCATGGTACACAGCTTCCTTGCCTTTATAAAAAGTACGTACCCGCGGGTCCTGGGACGGGTGCACACATGTGCCTTGCCCTCCCGCCATAGCACGCATGGCTTCCTTCACGGACTTGAACCGGTTCGACGCCGTCGCTGCCAGCATGGCACTGCCCAATAAGACGCCCTCTGTCCGAGCAGGGGGCAGGACCAGCGTGCATCCGGTCACGTCGGCGTGGATTTGACAGAAGAGGGTATTGTGTCGGCCCAAACCACCCGAGACCACGAGGTGGGTGATCTTTTCCGGATGGCCCGCCGATTCCAGGGCGGACATGATGTGCTTGCTTCCCAGTGCCAAGGATTGAAGGGAGGCCAAGTAGAG